AGAACAGGCAGTTCAACAATGAATGGACAGAGAAATACGCGAATCCTGTGTGTTTAATCTGCAAGAGAGTATAATTTGAGAAGGCATTTCAAGACAACGCATGCTAACTTTGATGTTACTTTCCCATCGGGCTCTGCTGCTCGGAGGCAGAAGATAACAGGGCTTACATCTTGTTATGAGCAAAGACGTCGCATTTTGTTTCGGGCCTGTACGGATCGAGAGAGAGAACTGCAGCATCGTTACGAGTGGCATGGATATTGGACAACAAGAAAAAGGCGTTTACAGACTCAGAGACAGTCAATGAGTGTATGCTGGCATCCATTGAGGAGGTGGTAACAGATGAGAAGACCCGAAAAAAAACATTATCGAGTCGATCAAGCAAATTCCAATTTCTGACAAACATGAGGAGAGTCGAGTCCCTTTGCATCGGACGTTTTCGAGACGCTTTCGGACAAGCTGAGGAAGGCCGAGGTGATGTCTCAGTGATGTTGCACAGCTGTGCGAGTTTTTGATGGGGAATGTTTTCGTGAGGATCTGCTTGGACTCATTCCCATGGAGGGGCACACTACCGGTGAGATTCTCTTCACCAAAATTGTTTCTTTCTTTGAGGAGAACAACTTGGATTTGGCGCGCGTCAACGTGTTGGTGACGGATGGTGCGCCCTCGATGGCGGGCAGGGATCAGAGGCTCGCCGGGAGGATGGCAGCAGCGGCTCCGCAGGTGAGATCTCTACATTGCCTCATGATCCACCAAAGCCTCCTGTGTGCCAAGCTCAGTGGTGAGTTAAAAGAGACCATGGACTCTGTCATGGCAATTATAAACTTCATCCGTTGTACCTCCTGTTTACAGCACCGCCTTTTCCGCAAGCTGTTGACCGACATGTCTGCTGAATATAAAGAGTTGCTCGTTCACAATGACATTAGATGGCTTAGCAAAGGAAACGCTTTGAAACGTTTTTGTGAACTAAGAGAGGAGATTCTGGTGTTTCTCCGGTCTTCAAAATTGAAAAAAGCTGGCAAGTTTCTGTCTCTGGTGGAAAATGATGAGTTTAATGCCGCTGTTTGCTTTTTGAGCGACGTTTTCCATCATTTGAACCAACTCAACATGGAGTTTCAGGGCAGAGATAAAACAGTCGCAGAACTTGTGGAGAAACTTCATGCTTCATGCATCACTGAAATGTTTCTCCTCATTGTCAGTTGAGGATAGCGAGCTGTAAAGTTGTGTTGGTACAGTTATGTGCAATTAAGTGGATGTTCTCTGTTGGTTAATTGCATTTCTCTAATTGTCTGTGTCTCTGATTTTTCAACATTGTATTGCCATTTGAATGTAACAATGCCTTGGGCCTATGTGTCTTAGTGCATCACAATGTGCATATATTGTTCTGCATTTACAAAATAGAATATATTGATTCCTTCAGTATGTTGTTGTAATTTCTTTATTTGTTACCATAATTATAATTACTACTATATTCTCCGGCCCCTTATTTTGCCTCGTTTTCATGAACTGGCCCCAATTCCAAATTAATTGAATAGCCCTGTTTTACATGCTCCCATCTTACTTACCTTTTTTATTATAGATGCTCCAATTCAATCGCAGAATCTTTTCCTTATGCTCAGAACATGATGTGTATTCTTTAGCCTTCTGAATGTCGCATTCCTCTCTTTTGTTGCAGAGGAACATGCCTACACCAAGAGCATAGAGTTCGTCTTTCCATCTCTTACACGCCTGCAGTGTCACACCTTTCTACCATTCTGCCACGTTTCAATCAGCTATCACGGCCACCTTGCACCCCTTGTGGTGTGAAAACTGGCCCAGTGTAAGAGCTTTCGGAACAAATACTAAATTAAACTACTGACCCAGTTAATTAAAGTGCTATGATTTCTTTTGTGTGTTTTTTTTTTTTTTTTAAAAAAAGGTGACACTGCTCAATCTGGCGATTTTTTTATATATATATCTAGATATTGGTGTGGTTCTAGTAAAATTACCAAACAAACCTCGTCCTCACTAGAACTCTGACTCATTCCTTGTTCAAGGTGTTGTCATCCTCAGCCTTGGAAACTGCAACTCTATCTCACCACAGCTTTGAAAGGTTTCTCCAGCTTGGACAACTGATTTGAATCAGTTGAACCTCAACCAGACATGTGTACTAATAATGTATCATCTGGGTTTCTGAGGCGCTGACCTCTTCCTCGATTTCCTTTGCTCTCATTGCGAAGCCTCAAATTAAACATCTCTGAAATGTGAGATGTTCTAGCTCTGCCTCACAGAGGTTTTCTAGTATTGATGGGGGGCACAGCTTCAGAGGCTTTTAAGCTACCTGTGGCCAAAGGTCGAGCCAAATATATGCCTGTAATTAAGTTGCTGCAAATGTCTGCTCAAGTATCTCTGAGCAAAACCAAGAATAATTTCCATCTTAAAAGCTACTGCTCTATGCCTGACCCTGCACCAAATTAACAAAAGTGAATTATTTGCTCTCTGCTCACTTATTTCCTCCAGCTTGTAGAACATGCGAGCAAACTGCGGAGAGAGCAAACAGTATGCCACAATTAATTAATTAATTAGTATATGGTAAAAAAACAAGAAACATGCTGCAGCCTAATTATGCTTACTTATTGTCACTGGCTATTATCATACACTGGTAGGACTGTATAGCTTAGAAACAGACGAGTATGTACCAGATATAAAAGTATGTATATGTCAAAATATTTGCAAGATAATGCAGAAAATGGTGAAAATAAATCTATTTTTGTCTTAAAAGATGTCGCGTCATAATGTTTTTGGTAAAACTATGTTAACGTATTGGTAAATAACATAACACACAGAACATTTTCAAACACTGAATCCTATAATGTCTAAAAACACGAGGTGTGTTCTGAAGTTGCCAACAAATGGAAAACTTTCAGTCAAACAAAGAAAGGAAAAAAGAGAAATTTGTGTCACAGTGACTGGTACAGGGTATGTTACTGGGGCTGGACCTCATTCGCTGCATCTGTGTGTCAAAGTGAAGGCAGCTAATTTACAGTACAGTACATGCTACCCTTTGGGGTCAAACAAGGAACATTCTGCTCGCTCTTGTTTTCTCTTTATTCACATGTTCTTTCAGCCATGAAATCAAATTACAAAAAACCTTGTAATGGATTATTTGCACCTGCTTGGATCAGCCAAAAGCACTGCTAGTCCTTCCTATCACACCTACCAACCTTTCAGAAAGTTCTGAAGTACCACCTTTAAGCACCTGCTAAATGTGTTCATGCATTATTTGTGGTGAGTAATGTCTCAGCTTTTATTTAATACTGCACTACTATAATGTCTACTACTGGATTTCATGCACAAATAAATAAGCTCCCTGCATAATTGATTAGAAGTAATTTTCACACTGCAAACAAGGGCATTATCTAAACAACAATTAAGAATTCAAGTGCTTTGCTCTTTGGTTAGGTTTAAAGATCAAGTGGCATTATGACTGTGTTTTGGTATATGCCTATTTGCTGTTTTGTAGATGAAAGGGAGATTAATTCAGCTTTAAGAGACTATATATGCATGCTAAAACTGGCACATAAATACTGGATAATGTTGGAGGTCTTGTTTAGTATTAAAAAATGCCCAACATACCTTCCCAGTACAATACAGTCACAGACTGCAGTTACAATGTGAAGCTGGAATACTCTCCTCACAGCCTCTAATGGCACCATTAAGTTACAGAACTCTAAGTGGTTAGTTAGAAGCTAACGATAATGAAATGTTAGTCACAGTAAGAGCAAGACAGATTTCATGTGTAATGAAAGTAAAGGGCTTTTTCATGCAGTTACAGCTACATTAATACAGCACTGGCTTTGTGATGTGATGCACAGATGTAAAAAAACGAGAAGCCTTGTCTTCACCCACCTAGTGGAACTTAACATTGTGGTGCGTAAAGCTGTCTTAGTAATCATAAAAAGACATTTCCCCACTAGAAGGCATTATCCATAATGTTAATGGGAATCACTGTGTAGTGAATGCACAACTGGGGTCACCTGTGAAAACGTATTAAAATGTATTATTTGGCTCTGGAGGAACTCTGTCTGAGAAATTAACCCAGATGATGTAATTTAATTTCTAAGATTGTGGAGTTTGAAAGACATTGACCAGGCACAGAGAGCCTCATGACAGATGCAACTGAGTTTTTAAAATGTATTATTGATTAAATTATTATTTAAATTATTTTATGAATCCAGAGTTTTTGATGTCAGGATATCTTGGCCTCTGCTGAAAATTGGACCTGTTATTGAATTGTAACAGTAAATTGTTAGACTACCACTTCACGTTTTTCACATTTGATTAAATTCAAATATGCTTCATTTGTTTGACAGAAAAAAATGGTAATGGTATTATTTACATTACATAGAAGTATCAGCAGTAACAATACCAGTAAAAGAAACAGACATAATTAATTTGTCTTTTCTTTTTCTATTTTTATAAAACTTAATTTAGTATTGAGATATTATTAATTTAGTATTTAGCATTAAGATATTACATTTCAACAAATAAAAAGCTAGGATACGAATATAAAGTAGTAAAAACACAAGAAAAGTAAAGTATAAATAATAAACATGATAGATATAGTAAAATATAAAAAATAACACTGAAAAAATCACAGAAAATCAGGTGCAGAGGGCATTTACTTAAACTCTTGAAGCAAATTTTATTTATTGTATTAATTATTTGATTTATTGTTTATTGCATTCACACATTTATCTCTTTCAAATTCAATAATTATTTCAGTAGATGGGAGAGATTTCAAAATGTTCACATGACAATGACATATGACATTTACCCAGTAAGATTAGAGAGTAAATTATTTGTTATTTATAGTATAAAATAAGTATAATTTATATAAATAATAATTTACTGTTTGGTGCAGCAGTGATAATGAACACGTTTGGGGCATACGTCATAGGTCGGTTAGTCCCTCGTCCAATCAAATGGCTCTAAAAGTAAAAAAACCCAGTAGTACACTACGCTTCTCTTCTGCGCAGACTCACGCACAGAGGAAGAGACAGGTCTCGCTTCCCACAGAGGATTTTAAGTCTACTTACAAAGGTAAAAAAAAAAAAATACCGGTCGTTTAAATCATTTGTGGTCTTGTCAATGGTCACAAGTATAGATAACCTTTCTATCGTTCACTCTTCATATCAAGAATATCAACGCGGTATCGCGACTGTGTTCCTGCGATCTACTTCTGTTGTTATGCTAACCGGCGAAAGCTAGCTAATCTAGCTAACACTACCAAGTAGTAGTTAGCTCGGCACCTTCCACTTAAGCTAACGTCAGCTCTTGTTTCATCAGGCACCTGGTTGGTTTGTCTTTGACCGGTCACATCCAGACATCCGCGCTCCGAAACGTCTTTGCAAACTGATCCAGTACAATTCATGTCCAACTACTTGTCAGATATAATATCTTCCAGGTTTGAATGGCATTGGGAGCTGGAAGGATGAACTGTAGTGGGTTATCTGTCTCTGTGTCACACATATATACAGTGTAACGTTACCAATCGTTACTGTCGTTACTGTGCCACCCGGCTGCTCACTATACTGTAACTACATGACAGCAAAGCGCCTTATGGTCTTACTGAGGCAAGGGAAATGCGTTTGTGTTGCACATTTTATCCATTAAGACAGTTCAATATAAGGCATACACAATATTAAACTCATCAGGTAATGTAATAAATGATTTAATCCCATTAGTTTAGACACTGGGAATGGTAAGCACAGCACTACTAGATGACCTGTGAAGGTTCAGCATGGCAGCATGCATTCAGAGGGTTGTTTTGCTCCCAGAGAGATTTATAATACATTTATTGAGGAAAAGCAGTAGTAATTTAAAGTCCTTCTCCACTCAGGTACATGTTTTTCTTCTTGTTCCTACAGTTTTGAGTTTCCCTGTGCAGACACTAGAAGGATATTTTCACATTCATCATCTAAGTGGAAAGTTTCTCTGTGCTCATTGAAAAATCAGATTTGAAGGGGCAGGGCCTAAGAGCATGATTTGTGACATCACAAAGTATTTGTTAGTCAATAGGCTCTTTTGAGATAAACCAGGCCTGTGCAGAATCGATCAGCGGTGATTGCTGTACAATGCATGCTGGTTAGATTTATGTCTGACTTGCTCTGACGTCGTGCAACACGTGGGCAGCAATAACCTCACAAGCGCTCTCCACCGACTGCAAGACCCAAGGCGTGACGAGAAACGCCTGGCCAGAATAAAGAGCTGAGTAGTTTAGTTTTAGTTTTCCTAATTTTCAGTGATTTTAATATTTAACTCTAGATTGTAGGCAGTTTCGTGTTTCATGTTGTGCAATGAAGTTTTAATCTTGCCTGGTTGATAACAATGATGAGGTTTATTTATATAACCGAAGGTGGTCTGCATACTACAGGCAGCCTATAGATGACCTAACAGGATGCAAACATTTCTGTTACTTCCTGTATATTCAAGGCTGCAGGAAACCGTCCAACTCGACTGCAGCTTTCTGTCACAATCTCCTGCGGCTGCCGCTTGATCTCGTCCACTTTACAGGCGAGGCGCAGTCCATCTGTAAGGAGCCTAATCCTTGTCCAGTATGCAGCGTATATAAGTGTGTCGGGCTGGACGATATGGCCGAAAAATAAAAGACAATCTCAGATTTCTTCACACCATATGCCATTTACGATTCTTTGCCGATGTGAAACACATCTTATTCTTTAGGATAGATGAGTGACTTGAGTGGATTGGGGCTTGTTTTACAGAGTCCTTAGCAGCTGTTTTTTGCATCGTTTTGAAACGGAAATTCAAATTAATCAATGCATCACTCAGGTTTACAAATGTGATGTAGAAACTTGAAGCCACCTGTGCACACACACTAAATGGATTTTACAGTGAAGTAGAAGACATCTTAAGAAATTAACAGAATCTGCATATTCATGGTTTCTGGAAATTTAAATGAGGTAGAAGGAGAAGATTTAATCAGAAACAGTTGACTATTTGTATGTATAATTTATACATAAATAATCTTTAAACTCTTGTAGCTCCTTAGTTGGTCATTTTCTAATAGATTTTAGCTGTAAAGGTAAATTTAAATGTTAGTTACATGTCATGTCATTTACTTGGTATGAAGTGAGATACTTGGAAGTCATTAACAACTCTGTTAGTAACTGCAGTCCTGAAATTGTAATTATGATTAACTACTTGCAGCTGGTGTTGCATGACAGGACAGGGTTAGGACGCCAGCCACGAACCACAACGTCTCCGGTCTGAGTCTGGCCAGGGACATTTGTTGCATCTTTATCTCCCTTGTTTTCTGTCATGTGTCTGCTGTCTGTTTATGAAGGCACACAAATGCTCACAAAAAACTGAACTGTCCATCTCTGTTGTGTGTTTTGGTGGAAAACAAATTAACCTCAATGTGGAAAGTTTCAGCTTTTGATTAACAGGTCACAAGTCTTGCTCTGGGCTGTATAAGCCTATAAGCAAGGCAAAGTTGGCACATTTTGCCATGGTGTTGGTAAAATGTTTGTAGTGCTTTCCCATAAGAAGTCAGAAACTGAGAAATATGTCAAGGTTTGACTATTATTTTTACCTACTGAGTCTCTTTTTTTAAGGTTGCTGTATATCTTACAAAGTGGTAAACACTCCAGAGAAACAGCTGAGCCATTGTGCTTGAATTTTACATTTCGGGTTCTGATCATAGCTCCCTTTTTGTTATTTTGAGGATGAACATAAATTGATACTATGTTGTGTTATTTATTTGTGTTTCTGTGTGTGCGCTTTATTACCTTTTCAGCTCTTAGGAGCTCATCACCACCAGTAAAGCTGTATAAGCACCGGGTTGACGGGACCGAAGGAAGTGGCGCGTCGTACGGGGAGCTGCCTGCTGAAATCGCCATGAGTTACAAACCCATTGCCCCTGCGCCATCTGGCTCCAACCACACACCTCCAGGTTCTAACACCACACGGCTTTAATGTTGGACATGACAATTATTGGCTAGTTGCCATTTGTCTGTAACGCATATAACACATTTACACACTATATGGCCATGGGAAATAATTCTGGTCAATAGTCTAATTACCATTATAAATCAATGGTAGTCTAGCGAATATTAGAGTGCAAGTAACCATAGCAACAATGCATTATCATCATCATGCTGTGATAATAGTTAATGTGGTGAGTATCTTTGGTTTCACTATTAGTTTAATTAGAGGGCCATTGTATAAAAGTAATAAAGCACTCTGAGGTGTTTTCAGTGTCAAAAATAAAGGAGTTAACTTGCTTTATTGTATCAGGGAACCTTAAAATGTTTCAAAAGGCAGGTTGCTTGTGTTACATGTTCCAGCTACAGTGTGTTACACATGTTCTCCTCTTCTGTCCAGGCTCTTCTGTGCCCTCTCCCTCACTGCCCTCGTCATCCAACTTTAGGCCGGCTTTCAGTGACTTTGGCCCACCCTCCATGGGCTTTGTTCAGGTATTTCTACAGTACCGTTCTACATACATACAAGTAATCAAACCACAACCACTCTTAATCATGTTTTTTTTGTGGGGCTTGCACAAGTCAAAGGGTAGAGCTTGTACTTGACATCATCAGCCACATTGCATAAAAAGTCCTTACTAGAGCTGAAGCAGTATGATACCCGCAAGGCAAATTAATGAATAATTTAGCACAATTGCATATATGTGCACATGTTTCAAACAAACACTCCAGCCCAAGGTGGAAAATTAACATGAAAAACATCTACCAGCCAATGACAAATAAATGTTGAAATTCACAATCCACTCAATAGTAAATATTATTATTATTATTTTGTGTGTGTGTGACATCTATCAGCCACTTTCATATTTTACCAGCATTCGGCTGCTGGCTGCTGCTAATTCCCCACCCACTTTATTTTAAAAGTGACCATTAACTGTTAACTGTTATCTCAGAAAGAGTTTTGTACCTTTGCACTCGACAAAAAAACAAAAACGAAGGTGAAATCCACAGTTTTAGTTTTAAGAATTTCTATTACAACATTCAGATATATAACCAGGTGGAAAAGGGAATCTGCCGCAGTTAATTAACCTTCAAATATCCTCAGAAAAGTATCTGCAGAAGTGGTGTTTCTGTATTCATGGAATACAGTAAATATTGACAGTGCTGGAAGGCTGTGAGGCAGCTGCAGGCATGTGGCCTACATGAGAGCATTGAGATAGCCAAAGCGGGGGTGGCTTACTTTATTGAAATGCATGTAAGCACTTTTTTGCTGGAATAATTTGAAACAGTGGACAGGAGGAATGGTCTTCATTACAGTTATGAAAGCATGGTAATGTCGAGAGGATTAGATGGGAACAGCTGGGGGACTATTATTTTTTATTTTTTTATTGCTATTATTAAATTAATGATTATTTGAGTGTTGTTGCAGTTCTACTTAGTGTCATTTTGACCTAATAATTTCAAAACAAAGATACCCGTCCCCTGTGCTTTCCATTGTTACATCACAGTACATCATTTTAGCAAGAGTCTCCATTTTACATTGTTCCTTGTCTTTTACTTGTGATGTGAATTTCCAGCTCTGACACGTCTTGATGGATCTTTCTTTGTCTCTTCTCCCCCAAACATTATATGTTTGTGAAAATACACAAACAGCCTGTCAAAGTGTCTCAAGGGTCCACCTACAGTGAGCTCCTGTCTGTCATTGAGGAGATGAGCCGTGAGATCAGGCCTACATACGCTGGCAGCAAGAGCGCTATGGAGAGGCTAAAGAGAGGTATACTTTACTTGTCAGAAATGCATATTTGTTTTCAGTGCACTTAATGATTTGTGTGTTTTGTGTCGGGGGGGGAGATTTTGTGCTTCCGGCTGTATTTATGTGTGCTTTTATTGTGGAAATGAAAGCCCCCAGGAGGAGTGGTGACCTTGGTCATCAATGAGTTTGGCTCTCTGGTGAAGGCAGGTCTAACACAGGATTCATTCTGTGTACAATCAGATTGTTACTTTAAAATGTTTTACTTTTAGGTAATAAAACAAGCCAATAAGTATCCCTAATGTTATTTTTGTTAGGGGGATTTAGTTGTTTGTTTAGATTTTTGTTTTTTGGAGTTTTAGTATAATAATTCTTCCGTTAGAGGTCTAACAGGGAATTAGACTTTATAACAGAGTGACATTACACAACCTCTCGTTAATTGAGCAGGTAGGTGGAGGATAAGCAATGTCAGCTATTTGGAGATATTTTAATTAACTTTTACAACAACATTAGCACATTAGCAGTGTTTAATTTGTTACAGTTAGAAAGTGAGGAAGTCATTGTTAGAACTAAATTATTAAGTATTCATATTGGTACTTGGTATCTGCAAGTACCCAAATGTAAGTACTTGTACTTGTACTTGTATTTGCTGTTATTGGTGAATCCCTGATGAGTAATGTCACTATGAAGGAAAACTTCTTCTTTCTGTCTGTGAATAACTTTTTAGAAACAAAAGGAATATATGTTCGTGAATATCCGGTACAACATATAAAACATGAAATATTTGATTATTTAATCTAACAATGCTTAATAATCATAAGTTACGTAATTTGTCACCTAAAATGTGTCTGTCTAGTTGTGGGCAAAGCAAAATGTCACCAGTTCAGTACTTTTCTACATTAAATCAATCATTATTGTTATTATTATTTAGGGATGTCCTGATCCGATCACAAAGATAGGTACCCAGTCCGATCCTTTCTTTTTATGTCAGCTTTCACACTGGTGTTTTTACTTGCAAAGCATAGCAATGCAACAAGTGTAGTTAGTGTCAACTTTCCTAATCAAACGCCATTAACATAGCACCCTAGGCTGCCCCGCTCCATTGGAGATGACAACCGCACTCACCACACCACTGCAAGTGCAGCAAAAAGGCCAATAGGAGTGATTTATTAATGTAAATGGTGCAAAATTTGTACTGACGTCGAAAAAGAAACACTCAAGAGAATACAATTCATTCAGTTACTCAAAGGCTTCACAAAATCATTAAACACTGGAGGACACTTTTAAAAGGAGGGCGACATTTTCTGGAGACAAGGGCAAAAAGATTGGAGCTGAGAGGGTTTGTTATTTTATACTTTATTTTGTAAAAAAAATAAAAAATTCTGAGGAGCAGCTTGGATGCTGGCATTCCTTTCTTAATGCAATGCAGAGCTATTCAATTGGCAAGCATATATATTTATTTTCAGAACTTTAATGTACTTGAGTGCGCACTCTGCACCTGTATTATCTAGGAAAGTATTGGATTGGAACGCGGTATCAACAGATACTTAATATTAAAATTTAAAAACTTGATTGGGACATGCCTATTACACAAAACACAAGGGTTAAAAATACCATGTTGTGTTGTGACATTTATGACAAAAAGTCTCTGACATAGTCAGGTTTTGTCCTAAATGTTGAATTGTGGTCTTCATTACGCTCCTCCTTTGTTTGCACTGGTTTTAAATTCTGGTATGTAGTAATGAAGATGTGTAGAAGGACTGGTGTTGGACTGGTGTGACTTGAATAGAATCATGTGCAACAGGAACCTGAGTAACTGCAGTAGCTGTTATCTCACCAATAATGGCTTTTTGCGGGCGCATTAGTTTTGTTTGCTGAGGTAGAATCAGACAAAAGGTAGAAATTGATACCACTTATTTTTTGCAATTTACCTCATTAATGTCTAATGGTTGATTTAACACCTCCTTGCACTTTGTGTTTGTCTTACTCAGGTATAATCCATGCCCGTGCACTGGTCAGGGAGTGTCTTGCAGAGACGGAGAGAAGCGCCCGCACATAACCTTTTGGAAAGATCCCTTCACCCCCTCTCTCTCTTTCCCTGTTAGAAGCCTGTCCTCATCAAGAATGTCTGTTTTACAACCATTTTTTAATCCTCCCACCTTTATGCTTTTTATAGGTGCATTATGTCCTTCTTGTCTCCACTGTTTCCTGCATTCCAGCACACCCACTGTGTTCATTACAAACCTTCTGTGACCTGTTGGGTGTATGCAAAATGCAGTTTTGTATCTATTTTGAAATAAGTGTGGGGAATTTCAACACATTTTTAAGTAGAGCTGCGGGTAAAGACCTTCATATAATGGATGAAATATTTAAAGTATAATTTGTTCAATAATGGCAATTGACCAAAAGTTTGTTTTTTAAATGAAGAAACCAATGTTCCAACTGCACCTGTGCTCAAGTTTCTATTCTAAACATCATTCTGCAACCACTCAATATTTTTTTGTTAATCTGAGCGTCTTGACTGTACCCCATTTCCCTTCACCCTTGCTGTATTTTCATTATATTTTGTAGTGTAAACACACATTAGATGTTTCTCAATCCCAAGAACTCTGTACATCTCAAGTCAATTTGTTAGTATGGAAATTTTGTAAACCAGATTTTTGCAGTTCGGTATGTATATCTTAATTAAATAACAGAAAAACCCTGTGTGGCTGTTTAATTTGTGAAACCTCATTAATAGGCTGCTAAAGAATTAGTGGGTAGACACCTTTCTATGAAACTATTAGATCCACTTACTGTTAATGTAGCAGTACATTGAGTTTACAGAGACTCCATCTACTGAGTATGGACACATGTGAGAGCTATGAAACAATGTACATGTCGACCATGAAAAAACATTTTGTGACCATCTTTTACTCAAGAATGTACTGGGATTATTCATCTAATTGGACCGAAGCCAGAGGAAACTGATGAGCCTTTTTTTTCTTAAAATCGCCTCTCTCTCTGTCACAAATAAAATAAATAAATGGCAAAACTGGGGATAAACATTTATTTTCAGTTCAATAATCACAACCTCAATAACATCTCACTTCAGACAGGTGAGGCTACTGACCTACTGTCTCACATGAAGAGTAATGAGTAGCTCTTTTTAAGCGAGTAAAGTAGATACTGAGGGTTTTGCAGAGTATATCTTGACAAAAACAACATAATGGTAGTATTTCTTACTATATGAAAATAAGAGAAAGCAAAGATAACACAGGTCCATGCATGCTTTATAATGATTGTCGCGGACCGAGCGCTCGGTTTCCCAGTTGCATCTACCAGGAGAAAAAGCTCTCCTGCTTATTCCAGTGCTTCCCCTGTGACCAAGATAGAGAAGGGGGATCTGGTGGTGCAAGGCAGAGGTATGCATGTAAGTACATGATGTACCCTGGGCAAAAAATAAAAACAGACTAGGATTGTTGGGTTTTGGATAGAGAGCTTTTCTGCCCAGAAACCATTGTAATCACTTCTAGTTGGGCCACAATTACAAGTAATTTCAGGATTATCCAAGAGCGCGTATTTCAGAGCAATATAACAACATATTTAAGCTAATTTTTTCTAATACTGTAGCAAATTGACGTTTGCTGTATAAATTACTATAAAAGACTTTCCCCAAACAGCACATGAATTCATCATTAAATTAAAGAAAAAATCTCTGCAGCAAAGTCTGTGAAACATGTTGCTGTGGGTAACAGTCTGAATGTAATCCTTTACCATGAGCAGGCTAATTACCCAGAATGTCTTCTGAAACCATAACCAAATAAGAAAATTGAACTCACAGTTCCTTTGTGATACAAATCTAAGGTTTCTATGGGTTTTTGGACTTTCATTAAAGTGAAGCTGGCAATGTCGGCCTTTTCCTAATCAGGATCAATCAGTTTTGAGAGAGGGGTTCAAGGGAATAAGGCAGGAATGAAAATCACGCCTCGGTATACAGGCGTCACTCGTGGGTGCGTTTGTGTGTTTGACCTGACAGTGTGTAAGAATGTTTCTGCGTGTGTACCATGGAGGGTAGGGTGGCAGAGTATCTGGCTTGGGTGCATGGATAAAACTGAAACACCAGCAGTGTCTACTGTTTCTCCTCCATCTTGAAATTCACAGGCATCCTCCTCTTGTTCCAACCCACTGAGAGATTCAACCCTGTGAGGAGGAGGAGCAGGTAGATTTTTAGTACATTATGTTTTTTGTTTTTTACAAATAAGCTTATCTTAAATATCTGGTGTCCAAATAGAGTTAGCTAAAAAAAAAGAAAGTCAAAGTGGACTGACTGTAGTGGCAGTGGCAGGTGGTGTGTTGAATAGGCCTTTGTAGCGACCCTTTTCCTCCTTTTCTTTGGAGCGGATCCTCTCCTCCATGGCCCTCAGCTCCTTGGCAACAGATGGTTCCAGAGTCGGGTCCAGCTCCAACACCTTAGCAAAGTCCGCCCGTGCCTCTGTCTCATTCCACACTGCAGCGTGGGCCTTAGCCCGCTTGTAGTAGGCCTTCACATTGTCTGTTAGGAAGGGGACAAAGAAAATGAATAAAAATGCTTCATATGCACATACATGCAAGCCACCAACTCATGACAACACACTTTATCCAACTTAAAGAAGGATGACAGCTTCCAAGATACCGAAAATAGGAGGTTGTATTAAGCCAAGTCTACCGGCCATATGGTTCAGCCACCACTATATTACAGTACACTTGAAGACTGGGAACCAGAAAAATCCCTTTTCCCGGACCTGTTTGAGCCAATCCTAATACGGGGTTTGATATGATGACTGCACAGAGGAGCGCAACTTATTGGCCGTCAACATATTTTCAGAAACAACCAAAATGGCGGCGACCGATGTGGAACGGTTTCTCTTGAATCCGCTATCGTGTCAGTATTGAACAAACTGGACAGCATTTTTAAGTTTAATTTACCGACTAAGCTACGTCAAACATTCTGTTGCACTGATTGGTTGTGTTTTGGTCTGCGCCCATTGATGGCGCCTCTTGGAAATCAAAAATTCAGAGATTTATTTGCATTTGCGCTGCCAGGCTACTATACTTGTATGTCAGACTCATGAACACTGATGAAACCTAGTTCTTGTGTGTGAAGAAAGACCTTGTGAGACACCAAGTTGCAGGTTGGATAAATAAAGGAAATTTAATCTATTAATAATAATCAGTCTACTAAGTATAGTATTCAGCGGTGGTGGCAACTTTCTCTCCTAGTAAAATTGGAATTTGTACTGTTAAATACTGAGTATTGATCTGAGTATAAAAGCCTCAAAACACTAGTTTTTCCAATACAGACACAGCATGTCCCAATTTCGGATTTGCTAATGTCAGCAGAGCGATGAGACTCAAAATATCCTTTATAATGCACAAAAGACCAACATTACACCTACAGAAATAGCAAGGAAGTGAACAGTTTCCGTTTCTTTCATTATTTTAGTGTTACAGTGATGGTGGTGGAGGGTGCTGTCAAGTGAAGCGGCTGTGTTCTTTCACATGTAAGGTTTTGTGAGCCCAAAATCACAAACACAATCTTGCACCCTTTTTTTTCCAAATCTACACAAATGCCAAACAGACTGTTCCCTCTTTGAATTCTAAATAATTACAATCTGTAGTAGCAACAGAAATCTTTCATTGCTACTGGTTCTTGTGTAGAACCAAAGTCCAAGTCTTACCCTCATATTTGAAGACCACGGATGTGCAGTGTTCAATCACTTCGTAGTACTGGCCCTGGAGTAGCTTGCATTGGCAGTAGTTGAGGAGCAGTGGCGTGATCATATGGTCCAACTTTACCCATGCTTCATCTCCAGGATGCTCCTGAAAGGGAAGACGGAAGTCACAGAGAGGAGTTAGAGAATGCAAAACAGATACTAAAAAAAATGGATCTGATCTTTATTCTCTTGTATCTAACTGTGTCCTCACCTTCATCTGTAGATTTTTGAGACAGGCAACACCATTGTAGTATTTCTCTGTGGCTTCCTTAATTTTGCCTTGTTTGAAGAGCATGTTGCCCTCCTCGTGGATCTGAGGCACAAGCTGGAGTTTCTCTTCATCTGTCATAGCCCACACATCAAGCTGGAACGATCCTGGAGGCAGAACCTGAGCAGAGAAAGAGACTGACGGTCAGTGTCAGCTCGAACCTGTAAATGAAATTGTTCAGTAGCACATAGCAACTCTTTGTGATACATGTACATTTTACGTTGAATGTTTATTAGTAGGGATGCACGCTAACTTTTTTTTAAACTGATACCGATAACTTTCAGCTCCTAAAGGCCGATACCGATAACCGATAACACACACACACACACACACAAATATATATGATCATGACCTAAGATCATGACATTAATACTATGAACAAACCCAAAAACACTTTTGACTCTTTAAATGGAGATATTTATTTTTTCCAATGAAAAATTATTGGCAAGCCTCTCAAAAAAAAAATAAAGGCCCCTTGAAGTGATGCAAATACATGCATCGGGATTACAAACTGATTCCAGAATTCCAAAATTGAAGCACTAACACAAGTTAGATTCAAACATTTCTGTGTAAACACAATCTGAAAAAGTGCATTCCTCCATAACAATAAATAAAATGTGTATAATGTTAGATTTGTCTGTGTAAACAAACTGAATAAGTGCATTCTATAGTAACAAAAAATTAAGTTTAAATGATTGTGGCTTATGGTTCCATTCAAATGAGTACCTTTTCACTAAAGTAAATGAGGTTCAGTTTTATCGAGAGAGAGAGAGAGAGAGAGAGAGAGAGAGAGAGAGAGAGAGAGAGAGAGACAGAGACAGAGACAGAGAGAGAGAGAGAGAGAGAGACTCCGTCGAAGCGATGGCTATGTTTCAGGTGATTTATCAGGTTTGACGTATTGAAGCTCGTGCTACTTTTACCTCCTCGTGGAACTTGCTTGGAACATTTGTTACAAATAACAAGCAACCTGTCTTCTTCAGAAACTTTGAAAAAGTCAATCGATGCCATGTTGTCTGTTTTCAAATGTAAGCACGCCGTGCTGCATTCACGGTGTGACGGTAATTCCCAGTTCCTATATTTGCTAGTCGTTCTTTCGGCCTTTTTAAGTTCATGTTTCTATTGTTTTTGTGTAACATGTGGAAAAATACTGTGGATATCAATCAATAAAAATTATGACCGAGTTAACGAGTTCTTTTCAAAACATTAGGGGGTATTCTTGAATTTTTCTGATTATGCCAACGTCACTTGAACGCAGCATTCACTGCAGGCCATTCAGGTCTCATAGTGGGAGCGGGGCACTGCCGTGCTAACAAAATTATGTATGTTATCGGGGCTATTCATCATGATATCCGACTTATCGGAATGACGTAATAATTTCCTGTTATCGGCCCGATAATTATCGTGCACCCCCAGTGTTTCCTCTAGGATTTTTTTTAGCAGTGGGGGCAGGCCCGTCCGACCCCCCCGTCCCATCGGCAAACGTTTTACGATGAAACAGAACTGACACTTCGCTGTGACACAAACAAATACATCTACCGTTTTAATGTTTCCAGATGTTTGATATCAGGACGTTGAGCTGAGAACTGACAAGTTGAACGTTGTCCAATTAAAACGGACCCACCGCGGTGACGTTTTTAGTGGAGCTGTTAGTTTAACAGTCAACTTGGAAGAAAGCGAACGTTTTGATAATAAACTACTTCAAC